GGGGGGGGGGGGGGGGGGGGGGCTGCTAGCCCATCTGTTTTGTGTGATTTGAGTGTCCAAGGCACTCAAGACTCGCACTAAAAAAGTAACAGAGCTGATGTCATATCTACACTAGAAAGGCAGACAGAACAAACCTGCAATTCATTTGTTTTAGGAAGCATCTTGGAGCAAATATTTCAAGTCCTTAAGCGGTTATATCCATCAGGGTGGAGCCTGAAAAGTGAAAGGTGTGCGTGTGTGTTTAACTGACTAATGCAATATGGTGATGCAATACACTGAAACAGTCCAGAATAAAAAGGGTTTGGGGTTCTTCTTGAACAACAGGAACAGTATAATGTTTTAAATATCTGTCCGACACGAACAATGATTCATGATTCGTGGCTCCACAACATTTCTATAGCATCAATTATTCAATCAGGACTATTCCCTCTCTCTGTGCCTTAATCTTTAAATCAACAAGTTCAAACAAGAACACAACATGACAAACAATTTATTTCACTTAGATCTTTTGTTGGTCTTCTGTAATTCTATGGTGCTAATTATTACTGGACTATTTATTTTCATGTAGCATCAATATTTTGGTGAATATTTAGGTCAGGTTTTAAAAAACTTCTATCATTAATTATGAAACACTGGTTTAGTACAGAGAAGTTTTGTACTAATTTTTGAAAGACATTTTGCTTTTGCAAGGATGGAAACATTCGACACATTTCTGTAACATTCTGTAATATTCTAGTGCTTTCTGGAACATTCCAGAACATTGTGGGACTAGTAATAAAAGACCAGAAAAATCATCCAATGTACACTTTTGGTAACTGCTTAGTGCTTATGTTAAACTGTTGTTAGCTCTGCATTATGCACGTACCATGCAATTTTTGTGCATGAGTAATAACAGATTAGCTTGTACAAGTTGTCAACATATTTTTTTAGTTTTCACAGCACTTTTAATGATACAAAAATGTAAATGTGTTATTGTAAATAAGGCTTTACTTTTTAAAGTAAAAATCTAACGTGATTTTCAGATTCAAAAAACATCAAATAAAATAAAATGCAAAACAAATCTTATATTTAAAAAAAAGTTGTTTCATGGTGGAACACTTTAGGGTCTTAATGAAAAAAAAAGGTGGGACTAGTAATAAAAGACCAGAAAAATCATCCAATGTACACTTTTGGTAACTGCTTAGTGCTTATGTTAAACTGTTGTTAGCTCTGCATTATGCACGTACCATGCAATTTTTGTGCATGAGTAATAACAGATTAGCTTGTACAAGTTGTCAACATATTTTTTTAGTTTTCACAGCACTTTTAATGATACAAAAATGTAACGTGATTTTCAGATTCAAAAAACATCAAATAAAATAAAATGCAAAACAAATCTTATATTTAAAAAAAAGTTGTTTCATGGTGGAACACTTTAGGGTCTTAACGAAAAAAAAAGTAAATAAATAAAAAACTGACAAGAGTGTCAGGGGGCATTAAGAGCTGCAATGGACCAGACAGAAGTTTAGAACATTTAAAGCCTGCAACACCAAAGACAAAACAACTTTGCTTTACAAATATTTACAACACTTGGGTCATTGTTTACAAAACAAGAAGACCGCTTAGTTAAAGGTCCAGTGAATCCACAAACTATTATTCCATCAACCAGTACTCAAAAGAAAAATGTGCCAGTAAGGAAAAAAGAAATAAACAATTGGATTCTAATTGTATACTACCGGATGATTAATGTGGACGAATAATGAATGTGTTTGAGTGTAGAGTGCATTACTCCACCATCGTCCTTTGGCTCCCCCTTGAGGTTCAGAATCGCAATGTTCCAATGTGGACACACATCAATTGAACTCATTTAAAGTGCTGGAATATGTACTAAAAGCTCATGTAACTTACTTTAGCTCTTTGGCTGGCAGCTTTGCTCTCTGGGTCACTGTCTTCATCAGGGAACACCTTTTCCAAAATCAGAAAGGACAGCAGACCCCCTATCACCCACAAACCCTGCGTATGATAGTGGCTGTGGGACCCATCTATCCAGCATATGCAAACACAAAAAGGGGGGGGGGGAAGCATTTTCCCTTTTTTAAATAAAACTTCATTAAGCTCTGTCCAGTGCAGTTATTGTTAACTAAAACTATTTAAAAGCATTTAATTAAATGAAAAAGCTGAAATAAACTATATAAAGGAAATGCTGCCTTGGAAACTAACTGAAATACGATAAGCTGAAACTGAAAAATAAATCTAAATGGAAATATAAAAAGCCTAATAAAATGAAAAAAATGCACAATTACTAAAATTAAGATGAAAACTGAAAACATAAAAGTAAATAATTCAAATATGAATAAATTATATGCTTGTATACTATAAATACTAAAATTATACTGGCTCTGCTGTACTGTATATTGACCTGCCTTTATTAATAATATTTGACAAGCTATTGGTCTTATAATACCAAATAACAGTAACACCTATAACAGTAACACAAATACCCAGAGTGGACTTTTTAAAAAATGTTAATAACACTGTGTGAGCCTTGAATGGCAAAAATGAAGTGCCATTTTCCATATCGATTTCAGTACCGCTGTAAATATGAGAAACGCGCTCATCAGCCCAGACCTCCGCAAAGCACTTGGAAGAAACATGTAGGGTGCTGTAAGGCAGAGAGGAGCCTTCAACAAAATTTCATGAAGTGGAAAGATTAGTTGAATTTCAATAAGGTTTGGGGTTTCTTAGACTCGGATGAAAATAAATTGTTAGTTAGCATCATGTTAGCGGCATCAAATGTTTGAGCCACTTAGTAGCAATTTAACTAGAGTTTCAGAAATCTGAATTTATATTTTATTATATTATATTCTATATTATATTATATTCTGTATACACTACCAATCAAGAGTTTAGTGTCAGTAAGATTTTTTTTTACAAAAGAAAATAATACTATTATTGAGCAAGGATGCATTAAATTGATCAGGCTTTTATATTGTTACAAAAAATATATTTAAAATAAAAGCAGTTCTTTTGAACTTTATGTTCAAAGAATTCTAGTAAAAAAGGATCACAATTTCCACAAAAATATTAAGCAGCACTCTTTTCAATATTGACAATAATAAGAAATATTACTTGAGCCCCAAATCAGCATATTAGAATTAAAGGGGTCATATGATGCTATTTTAAAGATCATTATGCAGTGTTCTTAATCTTTATAAGTTAGTAGTACTGTTCGGGTTTACAGTGTGGGGGCGTGTTAGAACGAGCCGTTTTAGGTAGGCGTGGTTGACTCTTAACTTTTATAAAGTATATCTCTTTGGATTTGAGACTTTAGTCTTTGCAACTTTACAGATCTTCTTTATGCACCAAGAGCTTGTAACACTCCAAAGAGAAAGGAAAACTTGAAATCGCATCATATGACCCCTTTAAAACAAAAAAACTTAGTCCCCAAACTTTTAAACAGTAGTGTATTTCTTTTTTCTTTACACAGTTTCATCTGTTAAACTGTAGTATTATTGGATGCACAGAAACTCTGATCAAACTATTTTTTTTTTTTAGTTTTTGTACAACCATTATTTGAAAGATTTTTTTCCACAGCAACTACCACAAGGATGAGTTAATTTGCTTTCCAAATTAAATACCTGTTGTAGTTCTTATATAGCAACTTGTTAACAACACCTTCAAAATTAAAGTTGGTAAACACAATACACAAGTGTCTCCAAGTAATGGTATCCAAAGACTTATTTATAATACAAAAAACTTCAATTTCAAAAACACATTTGAAATTCCAGGGGGAAGCCATGGTGAATTAGCCCTCTGGCTTGGCCTACAAATTGAAAGGTCTAGATATAGTGACTAAGTGCTTCCACTCCAATGTGAGTGACAACCTACAAAAAACACCACACCTTTTAGTTACTGCCAACTAGGGCTGTGCATCACCCATAATAATGAGGATAAATAAATTCAGCTGTCTTCAGCATCTGATCTTTATAGGATATTGAAACATGGCATATGAGTTTAAATTGTCTTTATTGCACAAATATGCAATATAAACATAAAAAAATATTTTTGTTTTAACAGTTGTGATTGCCACTAATAACGTCCGTTACGGTTGGACAAAAAAAGCAAATGTAACATTCACACAGGAGCAGCACGTTTGGACGGTCTGTGGGAGTGCATGAGATGAAGGAGCGGCTAGATTCCTGAAAAATTCCAGCCCACTGGGCTTTAAAAACACTCCAAAGTTTGACATGTTTCAGCGTTTGGCTGCTAAACTAATTAAAACAGCAAGAAAGCCCAAAGGCAAAACCGGCAGTTTTATGTGTTACTTAAGAATAGCATGTCTAAACGTCAAAAATTCGCAAAACACAACGTTGCTGCAATGTTTCTGATAAAAGCAACGGTGCACGCATACTACATTGATACAAAGTTGCGTGCCTTGAAAAACAAATCACTGTCTACAAGATTCGCAGAGATACATAAACAAACGTTTTGTCTTACCCGGCTGAAATTCCTACAGTTTTTACTCCGGCTTAACCTTGCCATCCAGGCACTGCGGTCTAGAAGAGCAGGAGTACAGCAGACAGTCTCCCGATTTCCCTCCTGAAAGATTTTCCACTGTCAGCCACGTCTCACCGACCGGAAGTGCATTTTCAGACTGCGTAGAGAGGAGCGAACTGAGCGCGCGCTAGCCAGAGGAGGAGACTTCAACACCAAATATGCTGGAAGAAGATGGTTGTTGAACCCGCTGCAAAAATGGCAAAAGGTAATGAAAAAGTATGCACTAACAGATGAATAATGAAAAATCTATCTATCTATCTAGCAACCCCTTGCAGTCACATGGAATATCCAAGCAACCACCTAGCAATGCATTATCAACTAAACTTAACACGTTAATTCTTCTGTCTGTATTCAGTTTAACCAAGTCTATCAAATGGCTAGAGTATTGAAACTACATAATAACCGTCACAAGTCAATACTTTTTAATTTGTTGTAAACCTTAAGACAAGGCCTTTCCAAAGTGTCTTAATGAACTTTTCTAGGTCATCTTGGTATTGTCTTTCCAGATGTCTGCATAACTGTGGACTACTAAGTAATGACGGTAATTTGTTACATGAAAGCAAAAATTAAGCACACATTATATGGTGTTTATAGTTTTTAGCATCTGTAATGAACAGGAAGAAGAACTTGAATAAATGACAGAACTTTCCTTTTTGTGTGAACTATCCCTTTATGTTTGGTCATTTATGCCGCTCATGACCACAAGATGGCGCAGTTGATTGATGTGTAAAGTCTGGAATGCAGAACACAACATTCACAAGGCCAAATCCCCATGCTTTCTCCAAAAGCATGTCAAATTAACTACGCCTGTACATTAGATGATGAAAGTGCCTATTCTAACTTCTGCCCCCCCTACAGTTGTTGGACAAATCTGATACATCAATTTCAGACAAGCAAATAAGATTTAAATGAGCATCCACTTGTCAAATAACCAATCATTGCTAAATCACATAACATAACACATAACATAAAAAAAAATCATACAATATCACAATATCATCATCTCTTTGACTTTGGAAATATCTACCATTTACTGACTTATGCCAAAACTCACTGCGGTTAATCATTCAGAGTATCCTTCATTGAAACTTTGCTATATAAGTCCTTTTTTCCATGAGTGTCATAGTATTTTGATTTTGTTGTGGCAAAGAGTGGGTTAAGACTCCATGCTCCAGATGATACATGGTGACTGAGTCATGCTGGCTTGACTTGAGCAATGCATTTAGAAAGAGGAACAGTTTTGGAGCCATGGGGCCCACAGAACTAAAATGACAGGGGCACTTGTGTCTGTGCCTGTGTGTATGTGTTTCTCTGTCCATTCATATTTACGTTCGCAGTCACCTCAATGTAATTGTGTGGTTTTACATTGTTTTTGGTCATTCACTCACATAGAAAAGAAATACACTCATACATTGCAGAAACTGTAAGAATTCAGCCCTGAGTGCCATGAGACACTTAGTCATCCACAGGCAAACGTATCTAAGCTCCGGGTGTAGTAATCCTGATCATTAGTCGTGCAGACAGTCAGATTGCATATGTTCACTCCAAATAAAAGTCAGGAAATCTTATGTGAGGATGTAGCACATGATAAACATGTGGACGGGCAGCCCAAATATCTAGCATGAGACACCATCATAATATTGAATCATATGATAAGACATATGACTTTATGTCAGTAAAAATAAACATGGTTCAATTAGTTTTGTGTTAACCAACTCAGAGTGCTTTATGATATTGTGTTAAATATTTTATTCCTCAAGAGACTAATCAGAGGAACTAAGTAAATTGATTCATACAGTGGGGGAAATATTTATTTGATCCCCTGCTGATGTTGTAAGTTTGCCCACTTACAAAGAAATGAAGGGTCTGTAATTTTTATGGTAGGTTTATTTTAACGTATAGAGACAGAATACCAACCAAAAAAATCCAGAAAAAACACATTATATAAAGGTTAGAAATTGATTTGCATTTCAGTGAGTGAAATAAGTATTTGAGCAAAACATGACTTAGTACTTGGTTCAGAAAACCTTGTTAGCAAGCACAGAGGTAAGGCGTTTTTTGTAGTTGGTCACCAGGCATCTGACCACAGCACTTTCTCCCAAGCCTTCTCTAAATCATTTAGATGTTCTTTGGCAAACTTTAAACGGGTCTGTACATGTGCCTTCTTGAGCAGGGGGACCTTGCGGGCGCTGCAGGATTTCAGAATTGTTTTGCTTGGTGACTGTGGTCCCAACTGCCTAAAGATCATTAACAAGCTCCTCCCGTGCAGTTCGGGGCTGATCCCTCACCTTTCTCATGATCATCCTTACCCCATGAGGCAAGATCTTGCACGGAGCTCCAGACCGAGGCCGATTGATGGTTGTTTTGTATTTCTTCCATTTCCGAATAATCGAGTTTCAGCTCCCTCCACAGATTTTCTATAGGATTGAGGTCTGGAGACTGGCTAGGCCACTCCATGACCTTAATGTGCTTCTTCTTGAGCCACTCCTTTGTTGCCTGGGTGGTATGTTTTGGGTCATTGTAATCCT